AAAAGAAAGTTGATTTATGTTCGAAGTGATGGTTGTAATAAACGTCGATCAACAGTTACCTTTGGTTTTGTTACTAAAATACTACTTGCTAATTCAGCTTTTTTAGCTTTTTGATCAAAATTTTCATTTGTTTCTCTTATATATTCTCGAGTATCTTGAGATGATTTAGCTAATGTTCGAGACTATTAAGAAATAAAAAGAAAAACTAAATTTTTGAATAAATTTAAAAGTAAATATTCATACTAATTTAGTCGTATCTTGTTTATCTTTAAGAAAATGTTCTGATCGACGATCTTTACGTTTTATTTCATTAAGTAATTCTAAACGACGTTTTTGTACACCAACCATTTGTCTATTGAAATTAAACAAAAACAAAAAAATTAAATTAAATAAACAATCATATTATTTAATATTACATTTCATGATTTTTCGCTTGTAATGTTTCATAAAGTTGACGTGAATGATGAAGTTTTTCAATTTTTCGACGAAGTTCATTTTGTCGACGTTCTTCAGCCATTGTTTGATCCTAAATATAAAATTAAACAAAAAAAAAAAAAACTTTTCATAAAGTTAATCTTTAAAACTTTTTTTTTTCATTAAATCATGCAAATTAAAGATAAGCTTAAATCAAAACAAAAAAAAACATATGAAAATATTGAGTATGATACGAATTTTCATAATTGATCAGAAAATAAACTATATCAAAATTCATTTCTTATCTTTTTTTTTGTTTTTTAATACATTCTCAATTTTGAACATCAAAAATGGAGAATTCATTCTTAGCAAATGCTCCGAAAAATAAATTAATTTGCTAGAGAAAATTAGTTTGTCTATAAACTTTTAATATAATGATAATAAAAGTGTAATAATTTATTTCTTAATTCTGTTAATTATTTATCTTACTAAAAAATCATGCATTAATAAATCAAAACGTTCTGCTTCTTTTTCTTTTTCTGTTCGACGTGCATTTTCTCTTGCTTTTTGAATTTTTAATTCATGATCATAACTAA